AGGAGAGCTCACCTGAGCCTGTGGACAAATCTCCTCATTTCTCTCTGTCTCTGTATCCTCATGTGCTGTAAGAGGACAATAAGATTTCTCCTGCCTTCCTCACAGAAACGTCAGGAGAGATAAAGTAGGTGATGAAAATCATAGTAAAACAAATGCCTTTTTTAACCAAGCATACCAGAACTCACAAAGAACATTTCAATGATGATGGTACCGTTGCTTAAAAATAATAATAATAATAATAATAATTAATGCTATTGTGGGGAATACTCCCAGTGGCACTTTAACAGGATACAGCCAAATTTTTAATCTTGTTATTTTAAACTTATATATTGTGCTTAACACATTTTTATCCTCCACTTTATGTACCAAGCTTGGGAATGTTGGGAACAACCACAGTTTTATTGGATTAAGCTTACAATTTTGCAAGAAACAATGATCACAGGATGAGAACATGTTCAGGCAGTCCTCGGGTTACGGTGGACTCAATGCATGTCGTTTCGAGGTTACATCACCATCTCCCATTTATTTATTTTAAAAGAAAAAGTTCCAACATTTCATAGTATGTACATATGTGCTTTATGTTTTTTATTATTTATTTACCACAAGTAAAGGTCAGGAATTGTTCTCTTTCTTTTAATTTTTTTTTTTTTTTTTTTTACTGTTTCACTTCATTACTGCTGTGTTTGTGCTCCATGTGAGTGATGTATGTGCTTTGGTAGGTAGATTTCGATTTACGGTGAAAATCATGTTACATTGGGCCCCGCCTTAGGAACGGATCTCCGATGAAACCCGAGGACCTACTTTAGTTGTATATATAGGGAAGAGAAGATAAAAATTCCTCACATTATCATCACAGCTATTAAAGAAGGCTGCTTTGGGGAGTATGAAGTGCTATGGAAATGCATGCAATTGTCATTAGTTCTACTCTAACCTGCAGCACTTGATCTGCTGCAGAACTTTTTTGCCCAGGGCAGTTCCTGCAATATTCTGCATAAGATCACTCATATTTGGCCCTGGCTAGTGTGCTAAATGGTTAGAGCATCAGCCCACACACTTAAGGGTCATGGGTTCGATTCCTGGTCAAGGGCAAGTTTGATCCTCAACCCTGGTCAGGGCACTTGCAGGTGGCAATTGATGGATGGTTATTTCTCCCCCCCTCCTCTGTCTTTCTCCCTCTTTCCTTTTCCCCCTTCCTCTCTCCCTCCCTCCTTTCCTTCTTTCCTCCCTCTTTCTACTTTCTTTCTCTCAGAAATCAATGGAAAAAATATCCTCAGTTGAGGATTAATAAAAAAAAGATCACTCGTGTTTGAAGGCATTCGAAGGCAGAAATGCTCAACTTCTCACTCACTGACCATACAGTTATTTCTAGGTGCTGCCACCAGTGACAGTTGGCTCAGCCCGGAGGACCCTTTTCACAGCGCCTCAGGGGTGGGATAGACGGTGGCTGCCAACAGTGCCGTGACCATTGTCCTGAGCTGTTTATCCCTTTGTGCACTTGCCTTCCAGGTACATGACCCCAGCCTCTGGTTCAGTCCTGGAGCAGGTGCTCTCCCTGCAGTACAGTGTGGTGACGCCTCTGCTCAACCCCCTCATCTACAGCCTGAAGAACCAGGAGGTGAAGGCAGCTCTGAAGAGGATGCTGGCCAGGCAGCCCAGGCTGACCTTCTAACCCGGGCCCCGCCGCCTCACCCGGAGGAAAGGTCATGGGAGAGAAGAGGAGGCAAAAGAGCTGCCACCACTCAGTGATCTCAGCATTCATTTTTTTCCAAAACAGAAGTCTGCGCTTTTCTCACCCCAGTGCCCTCCCCAGGCAAGCGAGTTTGGGAAACTTCCACAAACCAGAAGACACCATCCACAGGGGCCCAGTCACCACACCAGAAAGTGCTCACCACTTCACTGGCCATTTCTACAATGACCACTTTCCCCTCTCAATTCTTGTCCTTTCTACCCCTCCCCTCTCTGTTTCTTCCTCACTCTTTAGTTCACAGGCTGATGCTCTAGCCACTGAGCCAAACTGGTAAGAACTCTTCCTCATTCTTTTATTTTTGTCTATGCACAAAGTGTAAATCAACCTAGCTGGCCACCAGCAAACATCCCACTGCATTCTGGGGAAGTCCAGTCTTGGAACTGTGAGACCCACCTTCTCCTTTGTTCCCTTCCCACAAAATTCCTGGCAAGATCTACAGCTCCATAATAACTCAGAAAGAAAGAAATAAAATACATGCACCTCCTCTTGTCTTTGTTCTTAACTGACATCTAGAGTAAAGCCTAAAAAAAATAATAATAATAAAGCCCAGCAAATAACAAATCCTCAATAACTACTTGTTGACAATTTAAGGAATGAAGGTTAAGTTCGTCTGAGGAGTCCTTTCTCTTAAATGACCCTTGAAAATGGGAGGAGGTGAATATTGTCCTCTGACATGTAAGTCTTGAGAGCAAAGCTCCTGTCTAATAGTTTCTGTATCCTCGGTGTCTAGAATAGTCCTGTCATCTAATAGATGTTCAGTTAGCATTAGATAAGTGGGGGAGATGAATGAATGAAAGAGAAGGGGGAGTGAGATAAGGAACATATTAAAAAGAATATTTAATTTTATTCAGTAAAATTCTTGCATTCGCAACAATATAGATATCAGAGGAAAAGTAGCAGAGAGAAAAAAAATTGGGATAAAAAGAGAGGAAAAATAATCCATATTGCTGAAATTGGTTTGGCTCAGTGGATAGAGTGTTGGCCTACGGACTGAAAGGTCCCAGGTTCGATTCCAGTCAAGGGCATGTACCTTGATTGCGGGCACATCCCCAGTCGGGGGTGTGCAGGAGGCAGATGATAGATGTTTCTCTCTCGTCGATGTTTCTAACTCTCTATTCCTCTCTGTAAAAAAATCAATAAAATATATGTATTTTTTAAAAGAATCCATATTTTGGGCCATTGTCCTGAGTCCTCCTCACATAGAGCTCTGTGAATGGCATGCACAGTGACAGCCCTGCCCTGAGCCTCTTCACAGCCCCCCATAGCCTGGACCACTTCAGCTCCCTGCCTCTTCAAGACATCCCAGCCTAAAGGAATGAGAAGGAGTTGGAGAGAGCTGAGCAAATGCTCAGCTGCCATCCCATCTCCCATTCAGCTAGCAAGAAAGTTCTCAGGAAGAGAACAATAGCTGTTTCCCTCTTGTTTCTACCTAAAAGTCAAAATTTCTACATCAGTCCAGACTACCTCCATGCCAGCTCCGTCCTTGACCCTCTGACCCCAGGCTAAGAGCCTCTCTGAAAATAAATGTATTGTCAGTTTCTTTCTGCAAAGGCCTCTGAAGATTGTGGCCTTATATATAGTAAACCCACAAGTGAGATTTCTTAATATAAGGAAAATATAAGGGCCAAGGCTATGGGGCTGAGCCAGCCTCAGTTTTAGTTGTATTTCTGCTCTGACCACTTGATGGAGCTGGGCCCTTATATTTTCAAGAGCATATGGCTCCCTGAGCATGTAACTGAGGCAGAGTAATAAGTAAGTAGATGTGTGAGCTCAATGGGAGGAATGGACATCCAATCCTGCCCTTACATATACCCATACATAGGGATTATTCCTAAAACTCTGTATACTTGGGGGAAAGTTTTTGTCCCATAATTAGGAGGAAAATAACATGCAATGCATTGGAAGATTCATCACATTGTATTTAAATTTACACAAAAACTTGATATGAAGAGTATCAGGTTATTTTCTGAGAGCTTGTTTTCATTAAGTATAGAGGAGGGATGGTCTCCCCACCCCTGCTTAGCCCCATAGGTCCCTAAGTAGGCCTATTATGGAGCTGTAGATCTTGCCAGGAATTTTGTGGGAAGGGAACAAAGGAGAAGGTGGGTCTCACAGTTCCTCATTTGGAAGCTGCTAGTCTTTGAGATAAGTGAAGTCAGATTGCCTAAAGCCCAGTGGGTAGAGGGGGTGGAGGCAGTATAATTATTAGATATCGGAGGAAAGCAGGAAGAAGAAGACAGGAATTAGAAGATAACTCAGCTAATTCAAAACTGTGGTAGATTAAATTGGAGTTTTGGAATGTTGGATTGTCAAAGAAGGAAGAGATTTCTAAAAAAACCACCGAGGTCAAAACCCTCATTTTAAGAGAGGAACTTGGGATACAGAGGACAGAGGTAACCTGCCCAGATTTGAACCATCAATGAGCAGCACAAACAGACATTAGTACTCAAATCTCCTGATTTTCCTTCTTTCACATTTCTCATAATCATTGGCATAAATAAAGTTCTGTGAAAATCCTCCTTAAAAACAAGTGAAGCGGCAAGGAGGGGTAATGGAAAGCAGGGTCCAAACCCAAAGGCCCCGGTGTCGATTCTTCTATTACTGAGCTGACTGTAAGGGTCCTCTGTTTTTAGCTCTAGTTTCCAGAAAGACTTCCTCTCAGCTCTTTGTGAAGAGGATTTCCTTCTCTCAAATACAAAGAAATCCCTCAACCCTTTTCAGATGCTTGAAGCCCCTGCCCTTGCTGTCTTTTTCCCACCCCACATTTCCATCTGTCAAAATCCCACCCACATACAAAGCCAACTCAAATGCTACTCCTTTCATGAATCCTTCCTTGATCCTTTTTCCCATACATACCCTCAAATATAAATGATCTTTCCTTTTATGGATAAAAGGGCACATTTTAGGGCACATTTCTAACCTTACCCATGATGTTCATGATACTATTCCTTGTATATTATTATTTATTAGTGTTTATTCCATCTCTCTTACTAGTTCTTTTAGCCAATTTTGGATCCCCTCTATAGTTCCTTGAATATTCTAGGTGATCCATAGAAGTTTTTTGACTGAGTTGGCACAGAAAGTAAATCCATCTTTCTGTTATAAGTGCAGCCTATTTCTTTTTCGGCAGAGAAAGAAGGTAGCTATGATCTATGGCTTCAGTATCCACCCAACACCCTAGTCCCTCTCCCTCCAGGAAGAAAATACAGCCAGCCATTCAAAATCAGACCCTTTATTTAGGACAGAGGTAGAATCCATTCTTGTAGTGAAAGTGCCACCAGGGGCATTCAGCATGGGACAAAAGTCTAGTGCACCAGTCACATATCCCTAGAGAACTGTCCTCACGTGTCCAATGGTGTTACTACCAGGCCCAGGTCTCAAAGACAAATTAGCTTCAAGTTGAGTACAAAGATGCAAACTGGGGTATCTATGAGGAGTTCCAGGAGCAGAATAAAAACAGAAGCAAGGACAGTCGGTGTTCACAACTTCTTGCAGAGCCACTGTTCCAGCTTCTCAGAGCAGAGTGGCTTATGCGGCAACCTGATAATGGAAAGGAGACAGAGCAAGTTGGCTGAATGGGTCTTAGCTTAACCTTCCATCTAGCTTTATCCCCAGGAGAGCTAAGATATAACAGTATGAGTGAAAATTACAGAAAGACTTTTCTAGCCAGATGAGTCACCTTGTAGAATAGAGTATATTTTTAAAACTAAAAACAATAAAATAAAATAAAAAACTTCAGGGCTAGAAAAGGTATACAGAGGTACTGAGGGTTCACTTCAGGGTCAAGGACTATACAAGTCAAATCAGATGTGCAAGTCTAGCTGACAGGAGGTTGGGTCTCAGCCTTCTATGGGGAATTCCTATTAGAACAATTGCCAAACAGGAGTGGAGTGATGGAGGCTTAAAATTTGGAAACCTGAATCTGCTCGATGAGTGTTGCTTTGGAGACTATAGTCTATTAGGGGTGTCGAACTCAATCAGAGAAGGGGCCAAAATCTAAAATCCAGCCTAAATCGCGGGCTGAATAGTTTACTGAACAGTCATAAACTGTCATTGTGATGGAAACGCAGCGGAGTGCAGTGATGACAGCGCGGTGCGGGCCACATTGCAAGGCCTGGCGGGGCAGATTTGGCCCGCGGGCCTTGTGTTTGACACATGTGGAGCCTCTAGATTAAATGGCCAGAAGATAGAGAGGGGAGAAGTGGTGCAGGAGCTAAAGGGGTGAGAAAAAGAAAGGGAATGGGGAGTAGAAAATAGAATAGGGGCTCACCAGTAGTCAATTCCTTCACTATCCAGGATCTTCTTGGCACACATCATGTCATCAGTAAGGTCATCATCCAAGAATTCTGGAAATAGTTAGAGGGAACAAAAAGAGAGCTGAGTATTATCCAGAAAAGTAGTAAGTGTTTCTCTTCCCTGTATCTAGTAGGTCTGGTCCTTCTCTGGAGGCTTATGCCTATTTCCTTTCTACATAAGAAACCCAATACAGAAATCCAATGCCTCCCCTAGTCTGGAGGAATTATCAACCTCATCAACTGACTTACTCTGAAAATGTTAGGTATCAGACTTCAAGACTCCCAGACAGCTCAGATCATCTACCCATAAACTTGATGGGACTGTTCGGGGATTTGATGATGATGAAAATTTTTAGCAGCCTCCTACATAGTATTCTCAATCCAAGTCCCCAAAGTTGATGTGGAGTCCAAGGCAGTGAATCCAGAGATCATAAAGGAGGAGGCTCAGAAAAACAGAGAAATGGGATAAAAGAGGCTACTCACTATCACAGGAGATGTCACAGATGTTCTTTGACTGTATCTGATTGTCCCTGCACCAAAGTTTATTATTGATCTGGAAGAGTCCATATTCTGTCTTGCCATTGTTATTGACTATGGTTTGTGTGTCGAAACCACTGACATGAAATATGTTACAGATCCCTGGTAAAAGAAGAGAAAGGTATCACAAGAATGTCCAGGCATCGCATAAATGAGGACCTGTATTCCTAGAGAGAAAATGGCTCTCCAGCAAGTTCCCAAATATGGCAAAGCAACAGAGTATCTTGATGAGATAAAAAGAAACGTTCCAAAAAGATCAGACAATGGGATAAAGAAAATATAGGAGAATAATGTATTAAACATGTAAATAGATCAACAATAGGGTTATTAGTTTGATGAAAGTAAGGATAAAGGAGTGAGAATAGAGAAGAGAAACTGATGAAGAATAGGATGAAGCAAGGCAGCAAAAACTCACATTCAGGTAGAGTGACTCCTCCATAGCCATCCATGTCTTTCAGCACCTGGGACAGCTCACATTTTGTAAATTCCTTGGCCTGAAGGGTAGGGAACAGAATGCCCAGCAGGAGCAGAGACGCGAAGGACATCATGTTGGCTTCCCCTAATAATTTGAAGTGGACGCACCACTCGTTCTCCACCTCCTTTTATTCGCGGAGAAAGCCTGGCACCAAGCCCTACTTCTAGGAAAAGGTTGAAGAACAATGAGTTGTGCCACACAGAAACACTGAACCTGCCAACTTCCTTCCGTAATTTCACCCCACTTTTCCTTCCCCTTCCCTAATCTCTAGTCCATACCACGTATTGTTTTTCCTCTGTCCAGAGAGAGTTCCAAGCATGATCCTGTTCCCCAGTTGGCTTTATTTATACTTTTGTTTCTTGTGGGGTTGGTTCTAGGAAGGAGGATGTCCCCAGCCAACCTCAAGAACAAAGGAGACCTCACAGGTATTATGAGTGAGGCAATCAGAACACGGGATAAAAGTCCATGGCCAATGCCACTTTCCCTCCACAGACATACAGAGTAAGTAAAAGGAGTATATGTTAATATACGCCATGGTCCCAGGATTAGAACTCGCACTTGTCCAGTCCACCCAGTACAAAGCCAAGGAAGAATCCCTTGGTGTAGTGATTTATGGCTGAGGGCTCAGGAATGGTTATAAAATATGGCAACACAGACTTTAAGAATCAGATATGACTCGGATCTAGAGACTTACTACTTCAGGAAAACAGAGAACTTGAAAAGTGTGTGTGACGGTACATATTTATATATCCTATGCACTATTATCAGGCTCCCACCTCCAATCCCCAAACCTGATTCTGCACTGAAAATAATTGAAACATTATGTAAATCCAAAACTAATAACTTGTAGCAGATTTGTTCATGGGTATACTAGTAGAAACTTGTAGACACCCTCAGAATTGGCTTCTGTAGATTAAAAATAGAGTGACCCAAGCCAATAAAAAAAATTTAAAAAATTAAAAAAAAAACTGAACTTTAGTCAAAATCGGTTTGGCTCAGAGGATAAAGAGTCAGCCTGCAGACTGAAAGGTCCTGGGTTCGATTCCAGTCAAGGGCATGTACATTGGTTGCGGGCACATCCCCGATAGGGGGTGTGCAGGAGGCAGCTGGTCAATGTTTCTCTCTCATCAATGTTTCTGGCTCTCTATCCCTCTCCTTTCTTCTCTGTAAAAAAATCAATAAAATATATATTTTTAAAAAACTGAACTTTAATCACTTTAAGATTAGGCTAGGATATAAATGGATCCTATAAAACCAGATTCTACGTCTGAGCTTTAAGATCAGTGCCTCTGAGCAAGTGGAGGTGATGGTACTAACTCTGAATAATTCCTTCAACTTGTTGGCAACAAGCTTCATGTGCCAATAGCTGTTAGCCTCCTTCATGCCATGGCTCATCCTCTAAACATACTTTCTTATATTGCAGAGAGGTATCCTTCCCAACTAAACTAGTTAAAGACTTCCAAACTTAAGGCACTGCAAACTGTTATATTCTACAACTCTTCAGAATCAGGGAAACTCTTCTTGGTTTTATTCCATTTCTGTACATGGATAACCAGTATACGAAGTAGCAGAGTGAAATGAGTATGGAAATCTTGGAGTGCCAAGAGAGAGGAGGAGAAAGTCCTGATAGCAAAGAGATACATTTTCAGAAACAGAAGAAATGCTGCTACTGAATTTCTCCTCCACTCCACCCAAAGGCATTGGGGGAGGTACATGAAGGACAGGAACAGGAATTCTATACACTAGTAAGCAAGTATGGTTGAGAATGTGACTGGGAATGAGAGGATGTGTGATAGGGACTCATTTAAAAAGCTAGTCCTGCCCTGCTGGTATGGCTCAGGTCACGGTTCGATTCCCAGGCAGGCACATGCCCAGGTTGCAGGCTCGATCCCCATTGTGGAGTGTGCAGGGGACAGCGGATCAATGATTCTCTCTAATTGTTGATGTTTCTATCTCTCTCTCCCTCTCCCTTCCTCTATGAAATCAATAAAAATAAATTAAAAATTTTTAATTTTTAAAATCTAGTTCTGAGGACTAGTCTTTCCAATAGTGGAGTCTAGTGTAAAATGCCTTCTGTCCTGGGCAATGAACTAAGTACTTGCGATAGAATAAACAAGTGGGTCAGGAATCACAGGGACTTTCTACACATCTAGTCAAGTCAAGACTTATGGCAGTAGCCTGCTTGCCTATAATTTGACTAGAGCCTGGTGCACAAAATTCATGCATAGGTGAAGTCCCTACACCTGGCTGGCAATCAAAGCATAACCATCTGGAGTGAAAGGGCAGGTGCCAGCTGACCTCTGGGCCCTGAGCAGTACACTCTGAGTGTGACCGGACACTGTGGGCTGGGGCACAGCGTGGGCCTCTGGGCCACCCAGCAATGCCACACGGAAGCCAGGTGGGCAGTGAGCTCTCTCCGGGCCAACCTTGCAGACCAGCTCCTGCGTGAACTCACAGGGAGCCCGACCAGCCCCTGCAGTCCTGACAGCTGTGGACCAGACTCACTCAGAAGAGGCCGTGTGGGTGTGGGGTGGGCTCCGCATAGGTGCCTGGCACCTGAGCATAGGGGCTTCCCCAGCACTCGAGGCCTGGCATCCCGGGGGCAGGGGGAAGTAGCAGAGGGAGTGAAAGCAAGCTCTGCAGACACCCTGCATTCTCACCACACCTTCGTCCCCATCACTCCCACCACCAGGTAGCCGGTGAGAGATTGCAGTGCATCACCGACACCCACCATGTTCCACGCCACCGCCTGGTGGTCAGCACACATCATAGCAAGTGGTCGAATGACTGCCCACAGGAACAATTTGCATATTAGGCTTTTATTACATAGGATTACCTCTGTCCTTTCCTATGAGCAATAAAAAGCAGTGTTCAGATCAGAAATCACAGCCAAGTGCAGGGGGGTAAAATATGACTCAGATAAGAGGAACCATTACTTTCCTAGAAATGTTTATACAATAGTGTTTCTTGAGGTCATCTGGAAAAGATCGATATCTAATGGCTACAGTCACATTCAGAGAAAGATGTAGATTCTTAGAAGTAGACCAAAGAAGGACAGCAAACAATGATCGCAGCCCTGGAAGAGAGAGTGTATGGCATGATGTGCACAGGTCGTGGAGAAAAGCTCCTGCTAAAATCTCCCTCTCCAGAGAGGCTGAGTGAGGTGGTCTGCTTGCAGGCTGAGATCTGAGTCAAGGCAGTGAAGGGGCATTTACAACACACCAGATTTTTCAGAAACACACTAGGAAGCTATGCGCAGTCTCTCAGGGGCTACAGTAAAAACCAGGGTTTCTCAAACTGTCCCTTTTAGAGAATGTCTGGAGATGAAGGAATCAGAAGCATCTATTTCAAAGGACATCTGGCAGTAGCCATCCGAAACTATGGTTTGTAGGTGAGCAGTAGTTTAGAGACAGAACCAAGGACAACCCTTTGGAAGGACACCCTTGGAGCCACAATGGTATTGAACATGACTTCTTCTAGTTAATATTCTCACCTTGGTCTACTTCCTCTCATAATTCAAGTAAATTATCACTAGATGAATAAAGCTAGATCTTGAATTTAAAATCCAAATTTCGGACAAAATCTTACATTAGAGAGTTATTTAAATTAAAGAGTTATTTAAGAGTCTCATGCTCTACCGACTGAGCTAGCCGGGCACCTAAATTAAAGAGTTATTTAAAGCAAATAAAATGTGCAGAGGGGGTGCTCTCTACTGGCACTTTCTGACCTGGTTTCTTAATCAAATGTCCTTGCAAAGTCCCTTAGCACTATTGATTCACATCCTATACCCACACCAAAGGTCTGCTCTCCATTTACATGGAATTATTTTAAATTGTTGTGCTGCATTACTATATCTATACCTGCTTTTTTGCTTATATGAACCATTAATTAATTTATTTTTTATTATTTTGTGTGTGTATGTTTTAATTCGCACCTGTGAATATTTTTTCATTGATTTTTAGGGAGAGTGGAAGAGAGAGGGAAAGACCAAAAGAAATATGGATGTGAGAGAAACACATGAACTGGTTGTCTTCTGCATGAGCCCCAACCAGGGCCCGGGACAGGGAGGAGCCCGCAACCAAAATCTGTGTCTTTGACAGGAACTGAACCTGAAACTCTTTGGTCCACAGGCTGATATTCTATCCACTAAGCCAGACCGGCTAGGGCCATTAATTTATTTTTTGGATTGAGAATACTATCAACAAAAAATGCAAATATACAAATGTAAATCAAAACACAAATGATTTTCAAATGCTAATTAAAATTACCTTTTAATTTAATATTAGCTTAAAGAAATTGATATGCATGTAATTACCAAAATGTAGTAAAATATCTATACATATATCAATAGATTTTTCATTCTTAATTTACAAAATTTCTATTTTTAAATAAACAAATATTTATATAACTACATCAACACTTTTGATAGAATCTTATATCCTGCTTTTTGTTAATATGGTTCTTGTTCTTCTTTCATTTTTTGGATTGGTTTTATCTCCTTTCATATCCTCCCTGCCACACATTGTCCCATTAATGTGTATTAACAGGTTACCATATACCCACCCATATTTTTATCAATTATTGTACATATATATATATATATATATATGTTTTGCTGTTCATTTTTAAACTATTAGCCCATCTGAAATTATATCTGGGTTCTCTCTTCCATTCAACTTACCATATTTGTATATTCTGACATAAATACCTGTTGTTTTCATTGTAGTGGCTTTTTGGTATGTTCTGATATCTGGTATGACAAGACTTCCTTCTTATTCTCTCTCTTTTAGGAAATTAATCAAACTTTTTAGTTTCAAAAAGAATTCAAACCTATATAAAGTTGTAAAAATAGGTATTTTCAATATCCTTTTTAAAGGGTTAATGTAATTCAAGGAAAAGTAGACATTTAAATTGCTGATAATATAAGCATTTAATGCCACACATTCTCTTCTAAGCGCTGCATTTTAATTTACATACAATTAAATGACTTATTTTAATGTTATATTTTTATTTAGTTCAAAATATTTCTTAATTTTCTTTAAGATATCTTCTTTGACCAGTTGGCTATTTAAAAGTATGTTCTCTAATTTCAGAATATTTGGGGGGATTTTTCATACATCTTTCTGTTATTTTTTAAGTTTGATTCTACTATAATATTTTAATTCTATCTTTGCTTACATGTAAGTTTATTATTCTATTTTGTTTCTGTTGAAATTTATAGAATATATTTTTATTTTTATTAGTCAAACTGAAAATATTACTAATACATTTTAAATAAAGTTAATTAATATCTTTTTAAAATATATATATTTTATTGATTTTTTTACAGAGAGAAAGGGAGAGGGATAAAGTTAGAAACATAGATCAGCTGCCTCCTGCACACCCACTACTGGGGATGTGCCTGCCGGCAACCAAGGTACATGCTCTTGACCGGAATCAGTCCGCAGGCCGACGCTTTATCCGATAATTTTAGTTTTGAATAGCTAACCGGACAGACTAAATGTTGTTATTATTATTTTTTGTTACAGGTCAGGTTCCCTAGGAAACAGCGTCTGAAATGGAGATTGATACGCAGGAAGTTAAGGGAGAGTGCTTTTGTGTGTGCATATGTTGGGGTGGGGCGAGATGGGAAGCAGTAGGGAGGAGGATAGATCAGAGGGACAAGCCGAACTGTGGTGCAGTCACAACAAAGGGTTCTGCCAAATTCATGGGAAGTTGGAGCTGAAATGGCCCTGAGTTCCTATTCTTAGAAGTGATAAGAGCATCTTTAAGAATTGCCAGGCTGGTGTGGGTCAGTGGGTGAATGTTGACCCATATACCAAGAGGTCACCTCTGA